CCTGGCTCAAGTGGCAGGTCTCCATTTGGATGAGGAGACAAGCAGAAATGGTTTCAGGGCATGATAAATGATGCATGATAAATAGCAGGATGTATATATACAATGCTTTGGGAATGTCCTGGAAGGAGTCACTAATGGGCTCTGGGGGCCTTCAGAAAGGCTATCACTTGATCTCATTCTCCAGGGAAGAGTGGCTCCCCATTGGACAAAACAAGGCAGAGAAAAACTTTATGGAAACAGTGAACATCACCCTCCAGAATAAGCTGGAGTATTTTAGGGCCAGTAATGGGTTTGGACTATGGGATGTGAGCAGAGAGGAGGAGAGGGACTGCATAGGTGGCTTGGGGGGTGTGTGCAGAGGGTCCTCAGCATGTTACCTTCTCTGCTGTGGTCCCCTGATGGCACAGGCCCCTTTTCTACATTAATGCCAACTCCTCTTCTGGCCTGCCAGCACCTATTTTGGCAAACTCTGTGGTTTCTGTGGAAACTATGACGACAATATCAACAATGACAACCTGAAGCCGGATGGCCACCCAGCCAAAGATGAGGAGGAGCTGGGGCAAAGCTGGCAGACAGTGGAGGACGAGGACAAGGAGTGAGTCAGGAGCCCTCCCATAGGGCCCACGGGCCTCCTGCCCCTGGCAACCCTCCCTGATGAGACTGACTGTCCTCTACCCTGAGACTTCAGGGTGTTCCCCCTCCTTACAGGCTCAGGACTCAAACAATCTCCTCTCTGGCTGCTGGGTTGTGTCCCCCTCAGAGCTGGAAGTGAGCCTTGGCCTGGGGGGGGTTTGGGGTGGGTGTCTTCCAGGTGTCAGAAGAACCGGGCAAATCCTCCATCCTGTGACTCAGCTTTGCAGGGCATTATGTCAGGACCAAATTTCTGTGGACGACTGGTCGACCCTCGTGGCCCATTTGAGTATGAAGTGGGCAGGCAGAGCCACTTAGGGCTGCATGGCAACTGGGGTCCTCTGAGGTGGGTGCCTGGAGAATCTGCCCCTTCGTTCCCTCTGACTCAGCCTCTCTCTGCAGGGCATGCCTGCCTCACCTGAAGGCCACTTCCTTCTTCGACAGCTGCATGTTTGACATGTGCAATTTCCAGGGGCTACAGCAGATGCTGTGTACCCACATGTCAGTCATGACCACGAGCTGCCAGGACGCTGGCTACATTGTGAAGTCCTGGAGGCAACCCCAGTTCTGCCGTGAGTTGTGCTAAGAAGCAGGGGAGAGAAGCAGGGGAGAGATGCAGGATTCCTTTCCCCAGATACAGATGCAGGCTTAGGGCACACCTGGTGGAACCCCTCACTTGGCAGAGTAGGAAATCTCCGCCGAGAAAATCACTTGCAGTCACTAGCAAACTCGGAAAGGCTTCTTGGCTACCTGAAACTGTGTAGGGCACGTGTACATGTGTTTGTGTGCAGCCCAAGTCATCACACATAAGCATATGATACAGACCCAAGGCGAGGGGAGGCTCTGCAGCTGCCTCCCAGCCCCTGGTATGGCCCAGCCATCTGGGGAAGCTGCTTTAGGGCAGGCCCAACCTGTGGCTTTGACCTCACAGGTGGGCCCTGCTCTCTAGCAGGACTTCAGCCCAGGTCACCCACCTGGGGCATGTCTGCACAGCAGCCCTGTGTTGCTGTTCCCCCACAGCAGGACTGTGTTAGCATCTGAGCAACAGCTTCTTGGCACAGGCAGCATGCTCAGCTGCCAGAGGGCCCCAGAGCCAGCTTGGCTCCTGGGTCAAGCTCCTCACAGTCACTCTCCCTTCTTGAGATTGGCCAGAAGCCTTGAGCTAGGTGCCTTCTGAACATGTTCTCCTTCCCTTTTCTCCTGAGTGGCTTGTCTCTCTTTCTCACCTGAGCCTCTCCATCTCCAGCTCTGTCCTGCCCACCCAACAGCAAGTACTCCCTGTGTGCCAAGCCGTGCCCTGAAACCTGCCACTCAGGAAACTCTGGCATGTTCTGCTCAGGCCGGTGTGTGGAGGCCTGTGAGTGCAACCCAGGCTTTGTTCTCAGTGGCCTCGAGTGTGTCCCTCAATCCCAGTGTGGGTGCCTCGACCCCAAAGGAAGGTACTACAAGGTGAGCCGCTGGGTGGGCCTCTCAGTCCTGCAGCAGCCAGGAAGGACTTGCTCCCTGTTGTGAAATAGCCTGGGTGAGGGTGAGAGGCGGGCTGTGGGGAGGCAGGTAAGGAGGAAGTCGGGGGATTTAGGGCTGAATTAGGGAAATTTGGGATATTTTGACTGAGATTGAATTTCCTTTTCTCTTTCATTAGGTCTGGTCCTTCTCTCCTCACCCCTACCCCACAGACAAATCTGTGGCTGTTTTTCCCTCCCTCTCTCCCTCCCTCCTTTCCTTCCTTCTGACAGAGTCTTACTCTGTTGCCCAGGCTAGAGTGCCATGGCATCCGCTTAGCTCATAGCAACTGGAAACTCCTGCACTCCAGCAATCCTCCTGCCTCAGCCTCCCAAGTAGCTGGGACTGCAATTGCCCACTACAATGCCCAGCTGATTTTTCTATTTTTTGTAGAAACAGGGTTGCGTTCTTGCTCAGGCTGGTCTTGATCTCCTGGTCTTAAGTGATCCTCCCACCTCAGCCTCCCAGAGTGCTAGGATTACAGGAGTGGCAGATTTTTTTTTTTCTTTGACAAATCCTTCACCTCCTTTAAGGCTCATTGAAATGCTCCCTCTCCTATTTGACACCTCCCTATTAAGCAAAGTCAGAGAGTGTCTTCGGAAACTCTTGCAGCAAGTGTTCATGGTCTGTGTTTCCACAGTGGCTTCCCTGATGGCTGGATTTGGGTATGCATAGTGTTGGAGCACGCCAATTATTCATACATGTGTTTGCTGCCCCCCCACTGGATTGGGAGTGAAGTGAGCGTAGGCACATCATCCAGCGAGTTCACTCCTGAGTTCCTGACACTTAAGCACAATACAGATAAATACCTGCTGAAGTAGTGAACGAAGTCCTGGTAGAGTGAGTCAGCAAGTGAATGCTGGGGTTGTGCGGCTAATTGTAGAGTTTCAGGAAGATAGGGTGTTCTTCCTGTGTGAAGAACAGGAAGTTTCAGGAAGACAGGGTGTTCTTCATGTGTAAGAGGGCTCAGCATCTGCACAGCTCCTTGGCTGTGGTGTTAGAACCTGGAAAAAACTGCTTTCCTTTCCTTTCTGCCTCTTGTCCCCCAGGTTGGAGAGCAGTGGTACAAGCCAGGCTGCCGACAGTTCTGTATCTGTGAACGCAACAACAAAATTCGCTGCTACCTCTGGAGGTGTAAGGCCCAGGAGGCCTGTGGCTATCAGGATGGCACCTATGGCTGCCATGCCCAAGGTTAGCATTCAGGTGGAAGGTGAGCCAGGGCTGCCCAAGTGACCTCAAGTGAGGAGATGGCCCTGCTCAAAGCAGTCTTCTCAGAGAGCTGGGCTCAAGAGGGGCCAGGAGGCAGTTGCCTAGAGCTGGAGCAGCATCTTCAAGGACTGAGAGTAGAGTTGGGGAGGAGAGTCTTCCTTCTTGCTATGGATGGGCCATGGGGACCCTCCCAACATGGACTCACTGAGATGGCAGCACTGAGTCAGGGCTTCCAGAGTGTGGGGCAATGAGGCTCTGAACACCATCCTCTCCTTCCCAGGGGGTGCCACCTGCAGTGCCTCAGGTGACCCACACTACCTGACGTTTGATGGAGCCCTACACCACTTCATGGGCACCTGCGCCTATATCCTGACACGGCCTTGCTGGCTCAGGTCCCAAGAGACCTACTTTGTTGTGAGTACCAGCAATGAGAACCGCGGGGGGATCCTGGAGTCCTCCTTCGTCAAAGCTGTCCATGTGCAAGTTTTCAATCTCCGAATCTCACTGCTCAAAGGCTCCAAGGTCATGGTGCGTGCCTCCTCACCTCCCAGGCCCTCTACCCAGCCTTCTCAGCTTCTCTCCTCTGTTCTCCTTGCCAGTATCCCCATCTGTCTGGCTTCTTGGGGTCCCTGGGGGTGCCCTGCAGCACACCTAGCCCTGCTTCCCTTGGACTATCATCCTGCTTTGGGAAACATTTGTACCCAACCCCTGCTCCCAGGTTTCTGCCCCTGTTGTCTTTGTCCCATGTTCCTTCATGGTTCCCCCTTCTATGTTCTCTATATCTCTGCAGGTGAATGGCCATAGGGTAGCCCTACCCATTTGGCCTTTGCAAGGCCGAGTGACCCTGAGGGTCAGTGGCTCCTTCATCCTTCTCTATACAAACTTTGGGCTTCAGGTTCGCTATGATGGGCTCCACTTGGTGGAAGTAACAGTGCCCTCATCCTATGCAGGCCGGCTCTGTGGGCTGTGTGGTGAGTTCCCTAGGCACCTGTGGGGAAGCTGGACCTATGGGCAGGCCCATAGCCTGGTCCTGCTCTCCCCCACATCATTATTAGGTGTCCTAAGTGCTGATCACCTGATTAATTGGTTGAGGACTTTGGGCAGAAGGATAGGGGTGAAAGGAAACTGGCAGGGAAGAGGAAGAAAGTGTTGACCTTGACATGTTAATTGAAGAGTGAGCATGCCTTTTTCAGTTAGGGAGAGAGTGGCCCTGGGCTGGTCTGCTGGCCTCTGTTGGTGGGGACCGCTATTAGCTGCTCCCTCTCAGGGAATTACAACAACAACAGCTTGGACGACAACCTCCGCCCAGATAAAAAGCCCGCAGACAACTCCATCCAGCTGGGGGCCTCCTGGAAGTTGGCCGAGTCCTCTGAACCTGGGTGAGCTGGGGTAGAAGGATCTAGGCAGGAGGGGCTAGGCTTAAGGAAGTGCCTCAGGGGCAGCTGAAGGTCCCCATGTGTCCCCACTGATCTAATACTAAACTCTCTACTGGCAGGAAACGGGCCGATATCTTTCTTTTATTGCCCCTGACATTGGAACTGATGAAAAGTTGTTCCAGCTTTCATACCCAAGCCTGTTGATTTCTCCTGTGCTTAATGATCTTTGTAGAGCCCACTTGGGAAGTCTCTCCTAAGATCTAGCTTTTTCCTTCCTGCTGCATTTCCTGCCCCTCCTACTTGAAGTCACTGTTTTGTGCTCCTCTCCTTTGCCCCTCCCTATTTTCCTATTGCCCTTTTGCTTCAGTTTTGGGGAGGTTCTTCTGGCCCTCAGTTTCTATCTTCTCCCCCTCTCCTTATTCAGCTGCTTCCTCATGGGGGGAAGTCCCTACAGCTGCCAAGAGGACAGAATGGCAAACACCTGGAATAAGAACTGTGAGATCTTAATGAACCCTCAGGGTAAGACACATTCCCTGCAGGGAGGGAAACTGGGGGACAGGGAGGGAGAAGGAGTGTGGCAGAGATAGCTGGGAAGATGAAAGGAGGGTGAAGGGACTATAGGGTCAACCAGAGGGCACCTTCTTGGGAGCTATGGCTGACAAGTCTTTCTGTGTGTCTCAGGCAGTAGGTTCTCCATAAATCCAGGTTCTTATTGGAATGGTTGTCAAATTAACTCCAGAGTAGCTGTGTGTTCCTTCCCCCACCTGCTTTCTCCTCTAGTTCACCCTGCCATGTCTCTCTTCCAGGACCCTTCTCACAGTGCCACCAGGCCGTACCCCCACAGACCAGCTTTACCAGCTGCATGCATGGCCAGTGTGGGACCAAGGGTGACACCACAGCCTTGTGCCACTCCCTGCAGGCCTATGCATCCTTGTGCGCCCGGGCTGGCCAGGCCCTTGCCTGGCGGAACAGCACCTTCTGCCGTGAGTGACCTGACCACCTGCTTCCACGGCCCCAAGGAATCTTCCAGAACTCTGTCCTTCCTTTCTTTCCCTAAATTCTGCTCCTCTACTCTTTCCCATGCAGCTGAGCACCTACATAGCCTTTCCTCTGCTTGCTCCAGCCTCTTTCCAAGCCCAGCGCCATCTTCCCTGGGGCTTCCTGCACTAGGGCCTCCTCCATCTGACCTTGCCTCACCAGAAAATTCTGCCTTTATTTGGTTACTGTCTCCTTCTCCTTGTACATGGGCCAACTCTGTTCCATTTTTCCCTCTCTTTCCCAGGAACTCTTTATTTTTAAAAACAGAGTCACCCTCTGTTGCCCAGGCTAGAGTGCCATGGCACCAGCCTAGCTCACAGCAGTCTCAGATTTCAAGTGATCCTCCTGCCTCAGCCTCATGAGTAACTGGGATTACAGGCACCACCATATCTGAATAATTTTTCTATTATTAGTACAGACAAAGTCTAACTCTCACTCACTCTTGGCTCCAACTCCTGAGCTCAAGCAATCCACTTGCCTCAGCCTTCCAGAGTGCGAGGATTACAGGTATGAGCCACCGGGTCTGGCCACCTTGCCCATTTTTAAGTGTACAGTTTAGTGGCACTAAGTACATTCACAGTGTTATGCAGTTATCACCACCATCCATCTCCAGAACATTTTCTTCCACAGCTGAAACTCTGTCCCCATTAAACACCACCCCCCTCCCACTGTCCTCTTCCCCTAGTCCCTGGCAACCTCCATTCTACTTTTTGTCTCTACGGATTTGACTCCTCTGAGGGCCTCATATAAGTGGAATCATACGGTATTTGTCCTTTTGTGTCTGGCTTATTTCACTCAGCATGATGTCCTCAAGGCTCCTCTGTGTTGTAGCATGTGTCAGAATGTCCTTCCATTTTAAGGGTGAATAATGGTCCATTGTATGGATAGACCACAGTTTATTCATTCATCCGCCTATGGATATTAGCAGGAACTTTGGATGCCCCAAGGTCAGGGAGCTGGAAAGGCCACACAGCTCTTCCTAACACTCTGAGTTTTCTTAGCTCTGAAGTGCCCACCTGGCAGCAACTACAGCCCCTGTACCAGACCCTGCCCAGCCACCTGCCTTAGCCTGAGCACTCCAAGGGACTGCCCAGCCTCGCTGCCCTGTGTCGAGGGCTGTGAATGTCAGAAGGACCACATCCTGAGTGGAACCTCCTGTGTGCCCCTCAGCCAGTGTGGCTGCATGGACTCAAGAGGCTTCTACCACCTGGTGAGAGGCCAGATAGCAGGGGGCCCTGACCTTCCCAGCTGCACAAGTTTAGGCAAGGCAGCCCTCCTGCTGAGAACTGGGAAAGGGGCTGGTTGAGGCTGGGGGTGAGGAGGAAGGTCTATGATGAAAGAAAGCAACTAGCTCAGCATGCCTGGGGGACAGGGGACCAGGGATCTCAGTCCATCTCCACCCTCCAAATCTCCCTTGGCTCTGCTGATCTCTGGCCTGCAGGTTGGGGAGAGCTGGTACCCAGAGAGTACCTGCTCCAAGCTCTGTACCTGCTCCATCCACAACAATATCACTTGCCTCCAAACTGCCTGCAAACCCAACGAGATGTGCTGGTCCCTGGATGGGCTGCTCCGCTGCCGGGTCTCAGGTAGGAGGGCCACAGAGCTGAGGGGGATCCACAGGCATTGAGGACAGCTCTCTCAACTCCCCTGTACTCTCCCTGACACCTGTAGCACTCAGGGTCATGTTCGTAGCCCTATTGCACTAAAGAGCTTCAGGCTGGATTGATGACCTCTCACTGTCAGGAAAAGCACCTGGGGTTCACCCATCCCTCTCTTGAAGCAGCCATGAAACTAGATAGGGGGCAGCACCTGTGGCTCAAAGGAGTAGAGCGCCATCCCCATATGCCAGAGGTGGTGAGTTCAAACCCAGCCCTGGCCAAAAACTGCAAAAAAAAAAAAAAAAAAAAAAATAAAAAAACAAACTAGATAGGATATTATAAATCTCTCCCTGGCAGCATCACGCCCTGCTTACCCCCAAGCCTCATGCTACTCCCACCCTTGGGAGGCTCTCTGATCTTTCCCAGATCATTTTCCTTGAAGGCAAGGATGATGCAGGACCACCTCCTTAAGGGACCCTGTTCTCACCGGAAGTAGGGGAATCCCTTAGCCAATTCTCTCCCCTTCCAGGTATAGGGGTGTGCCGGGCCTCAGGGGAAGCGCAGTATCTGAGCTTTGATGGCAATGAACACTCTATCCAGAGCACTTGCGCACACGTCGTGTTCAAAGTGTGCCACCCCAATATGGACCTGCCTTACTTCAAGATCAGTGTCAAGAACAAGAAGCTGGAAGATGAAGCTGAGGGTTTCCAGCTTCACCAGGTTTACATTGACATCAACAATTCCCAGGTCATCCTGCAAACAGGCCACAATGTGCTGGTGAGCTGGGCCAGGCAACCGGCACTGGGAAGGAGAGAGCACTGGACTCTGGTCCTTCCTCTTACTCACAGGTCCTGCCCTCCTCTTCAGATCAATGGCAAACAGGTCACTCTTCCTTCGATCTCCGAGATCCCGGGGGTCAGCATCATTGCCAGTGGCATCAACACCATTGTCAATATAACGATTGGAGCACAAGTCGTGTTTGCTGGCCAGGATTTCTTAGAGATCAGAATGCCTACAGCCTTTCAGGGAAAGGTGAGGAAAGCACCTGGCTCTGTACTTGAGGGGAGGAAGCCTTGAGGCACGGGGCAGCATTTACATCCTACCCCGGACCCCAGAGGGGAGGAGAACTGTGGCGATCACCTTTCTATTTAAGGTGGACAAGGTACGCCTATAAAAAGTGTTCCATGGCTCCCCAGTACTGAAACCTTTTCCTGCCCACCCAGGTCTGTGGCGTGTGCGGGAACTTTAATGGCGAGGAAGAGGATGAGCTGATGATGCCCAGTGAGGAGCTAGCCTGGAATGACTCAGAATTTGTGAAAAGCTGGAAAGATAAGGCTATTGACCCAGAGTAATTTTCCCTTAAGATCTTCTACCTTTTCATAACAACAGGTGCTGGGAAGCTAGATTGTAAGGCACACCTGGGATAGGGGACCCAACGTGTTCCTTTATGTGTGTGATTTGAGGGGGGATGGCTTTTGGGCATTCTGAGGGGGAATATATATAATTTGGGTCTCAGGCCTGCTGGGACCTATTTGAGAAAATGTGAGTCTTCCTTTATTTGCTAAGAAACCTGGGAGGAGATGAAAGCACATGGAATGTTGGCCAGAGCTCAGACCTGCTTCCTGTGGAGACTTGGGGATAGGGAGGTCCCTGAGGGTTCTCAGGGTCATCTGGGAGTGTCAATTGTGATAATCAGGGTAGTGGCTGTCCCTATGCTGATTCCTTTCTTTTTCCTTCCCAGTTGCCAAGAAGATGACCAGCAAGAGAACCTGAATGAAAACTGCAGAGAGGCTGACCTCCACAGGGCCCAGGAAAAATGTGAGGCAGCCCTCAAGACTCCAGCCTGGGCCCAGTGTGCCTCCCGAGTGGTCCTCAAGCCCTTCTTGGCGGGCTGTACCAACAACCTCTGTGAGTTTGGAGGCCTGAACCATGCCCTCTGTGAGGCTCTGCAAGCCTTTGGGACTGCCTGCCAGAGCCAAGGGCTCAAGCCCCCACTCTGGAGAAATAGCAGCTTCTGCCGTGAGTGTCCCTTCTGGTCACCCCCAAACTGCTCCCAAACCATGTGTCTCTCTACATTTCCTTTTTAAAGCTTACTCATCTCCTTTCTGGTTGTTCTTGACATATTTCTGTCCTCATTGTCTCTCTGGTGAGGACTGCTAGCAGAACAGTCTCCAGCTACTTCTCATGTTTTTTTTTTTTTTTTT